CTTTGGTGGGGTGCTTGGGCGGGCCGGTGCCGGCGGGGTGCGCACCATCTGCGCCACCCCGCCACCCCGACATGTGACGGCATCCCTCCTCTTGTGCTCATGCAGGACCACCACCACCACGAGCACGAGCATGAGCACGAGCACGGCCACGGGCATGAGCATGAGCACAAGGATGACGACTGCGCGCAGTGTGCGGCGGGAGACCCGGACCACTCGCACCACCACGGCCACAGCCACAAGCACGACTCCCGCGTCAGCAGCGTGGGCATCGAGTGCGAGGGTGAGGCACCCGCCCGCAAGGGGAATGGTGGTGGCTAGGTCGGGGCAGGGCAGGCAAGGAAGAAGAGGCGGCAGCACGCCCTGCGAATGGGCAGCGTGATGCAGCTGCAGCAGCATGAGCAGCCAGGCGAGGCCAGGGTGCCACCGCACAGCTTGAGGCAGCGCACAGCGTGCATGCCCTCACCGCCAGGCATGCGGGCGCACATGGCGTGCGGCTGCCTGCTCGACTCCCTGTGCCGTGCCCTGCCCCCAGCCCCAGCCCGGCACGCACACCGCCGCACGCAACCATCACACACACTCCCCGCCCCCACCCCTGCAGGCGCTCTGGACATGCAGCGGCTGAACGAGTGGCTCAGCACTCTGCTGCAGGAGAAGGGCGCAGACATCTACCGCTCCAAGGGCATCCTCAACATCGCAGGCTCAGACGACAAGTGAGCGCGGGATGCGGGACGGAACCCAGCCAGCGCAGCGGCGGGCCCAGGGCGTGCAGCGCATGCGGCGCGGGAGGGCCGGTGGGCGCCGTCGCCCTGCCCAGCCGGCAGCGGGAGAGCGAAGCGCTGCCAGCTGGCTTCGGGCCTGCCGCCCGCTCACTGCCAGCTGCTGCCGCCTCCTCTTCCTTGCCTGCCCTGCCCCGACCTAACCGCCGCCATTTCCCGTGTTGCCCGGACAGGTATGTGTTCCACGGCGTGCACATGATGCTCCAGTTCGGCAGCAGCGCAGAGGGGCTGGGCAAGCCGTGGCAGCCGGGGCAGCCGCGCTTCAACCGCGTCGTCTTCATAGGTGCGCCCTCACGGCCGCCGCCGGGCCTCCATCTGATAGTGCTGCTGCTGCATCGGCAGCTGTTCTGGGGAAAGCGCGTGCCAAGGCACGCCCTTTCCCTGCCGGCTGATGGCGAGGCCTGCCGACCCAAGCTGCCCTTCCCAACCTGTGCTTCTTGTTTCTTTCTTCTGCAGGCAAGGACCTGAACCGGCAGGAGCTAAACGACGGCTTCCGCAGCTGCATGGCAGACGCCAACGGCAGCGGCAGCAACGGCGCCGCATGAGGCGGGCTAGCCAGGGGCTCGTGCCGGCCTGCACGCGCCCGCATCCGGCGCGCAGCCGGCTCGAGCCGCAGCCGTCCCGCAGGGTGCAGCATTTGACCGCGTTTCATTTTAATCAATCCGTGACGATTGTTTGGTAGTAGGTGCCCTTAGTGTTGCTGACCCCTGTCTGATTGCATGCTCATTAACAGGCCCAACACACATGGGGTACATCCATCTGTGAGAAATCGGGAGCGATCGGCAGGATGCTGCAACTCGATTCGGTGGTACTGCTTGAAATCGTTGGGTTGATGGTGCTGCTCACCGCTGGCGTGGCCAAGCCGCGGATGCCGAAACGAAATCCGCTGTGCAGGCCCTGCCTGCGCCAGGCTCTGCACCCGGCCTGCTCCGGCCCGCTCCACTCCGCCTTCTCTGCCTGCCTGCCCCTCACGAGGCCCGGAACTGCACCCCCAGGTCGGCGCTCCTGAGGGAGGGCACCCTGGAGCGCAGCGTCTGGCGCGTGGCGCCCACCAGCGTCACCTCCAGCGGCGCCGTGGGGTCGATGGGTTGCCCCGGGTTCCAGACCCAGAAGTTGTCGCTGCCGCGCTGCAGCTTCTGGCCGTTGACCTGCGGGGTAGGGGCTGGGTTGGGTTGCGGGGGGGTGTCGCTGCGCTGGCGCAGGTGAACTGCGCGGAGGGGTCAGCGCCCAGCCTGCCCGCGAGGCGCACCCCGCTGCGGGCCGCGCTGCAAGGTAGGGCGTGCTGGAAGGTGCAGGTGGTGGAGGGACCTCCTCAGGCCTCAGCTTCCCCACTGCTGCAAGGCGTGTGTGCGTGTGTGCTGGATCTGTGGGCTCACCTGGACCTCCACGATGGGGATGACGTGGTTGGAGAAGCCAAAGGCCTGGTAGAAGGCGCTGCACGGCGGCGGGGGCAGGCCCGCGGGCAGCAGCGCGCGAGTCGTGTGAGCCTGGCGGGTGGGATGGCTGGTGGAGCGGCGGCGGGGGCTTGGCAGCGGGTGTGCATGCATGCGTGCCGTGGCAGAGGGGGAGGGCTTTTTGGTCTGCTGGTGAATGCTTGCAGGTCAGTGCAGCCGCCCACCTGCCTCCCTCCTTGCGCAGCATTTTTATGGTACCAGCGGTGTAGGGGGCGCAGCTGGTGAGGTCCCAGGACACCTGCAGAGGGCGGGGAGGCAGGCGGGCAGGCGGCAGGTGGAGGGCAGCGGACGCCAGGCACGGCACAGCAGCACGCTGCCTGTGACCTTGCACAGCACACCAGCACAGGCATTCCCTGCTTGGCAGCACGCAGCATGTTCAGCATGTTGGTCAAGGGGTGGGGGAGGAATGGAGAGGGAGCCTCCGCCAGCAGCGCGTGCGCACCACGATGGAGGGGTTGGCCCCTGGGGCCCGCCCCGTCAGGTTCTGGAATAGCGGAGTGGCAATGGCCAGGTCGGAGCCGGTGCAGCTGCCTGCAGGACAGTCAAGGTGCCATGGCCTGAGCAGGCTGTGCCCCAGTGTCGCTGCGCGAGCCCGCGTGCGGCGCAGCAGCAGCGGAGCGGAGCGGCAGCAGCAGCGGAGCGCCGCGCACCGCACGCGTCGGCCACGAGCGCCGGCAGCTCCCTGCCCGGCGCGGCGCAGCTCTGGTCGTCGCACTGAAGGGTGATGCAGCGGCCGCAGGCCGCAGCCGCCTCTCCAAAGTATTGAGGCGACACACCGACATAGTTGGACTGCAGGCGGGGAGGGAGATGCGGGAGGCGGTGGCAGGCGCAGATGGCGGGGTGCTGGTGCTCCTGGTTGGCATTGGGTGGGCCACCCTAAACCCTGGCCCAGCATGCATTGCAGATTGAAGCGGTAGTGCCAGAATCCCGCTGGCCGAAATGCCAAACCTGGAAGGTGGGGGAGAGGAATCCCAGGCTGCATCCCAGGTTGGCGGCGCCGTAGGGCCCCAGCGGCTCCGCTGGATACGCCACGGTGGCCACTCCTCGGTACTGCAGGCGCGCCTCGCCTGCAGGAAGCAGCAGCGGGGGCGAGGAAGAGGCGGCTTGCTGCGCGGGCAATGACGGCAAGCAACCCACTCGCAAGCGCGCCAACCGCAATATGGCGTGCCCTGGGCCAGGGCCGCACCTCCAGGCGCGCCGATGCCGGGGGCCAGCCCAAACTGGGTGCTCCTGGCGCCGGGGGCGATGGGCTCGGCAGCCCCAAACTCTGGCGGCGGCTGGGAGGCGGCGCTGTCTGCGGCGGCTGGCGGGCCGGCGTCCGTGACTGGGCCAAACACATCGCCCGCCTGCTGCTGCCCTCTACACAGGCCAGCTGCCCAGAAAACGGCTGCCAACAGGAGGAGGGTTGGGTTGGACAGCCCCATTCTGGCACTCGGGCGGAGGGTCCTTGGAGGGGGCCTGCGCTGCGTTTCAGCGATGCCAGCAATGGAAAGGGTGCAGATCGGTGGTGATCAAGCAGAAAGAGGCTGGGCCAGAAAGAAACCCAGTCAGCCCATCGCAGGCAAGCCAGGCAAGACCCACGGGCCTTGATGGATCTGTTCCTCTGATCGCGCTGCAGTCGCAGTTCAAGAGCAGGGCGCTGAGGCGGCGATTGGGAGCAATTGCTCGGCAGCCCTTCCCTCGAGTGTGTCGCACTGTGTGTGTGAGCCCGGCACCATGCAGGTAGGTTGTGGCAGGCCGGCAACATCGGAAGGGCACAGCGCCGGAATGCCGCCCAACATGCGATGCAGTCGACAGGTTTTTTGCTTGCCAGGCACGCTGGGTTGGCCCCATGTCGCGATTGGCACGAATGCATATGCCGGGAGCAATTCCCAGCAAGCCCGCTATCCCGCCGCCGCCGGCTCCCGCCACCGCCACCCCCAGCGCTCGCCCTGTCCCACTCGGTTGCTGCTGCCTGCAGATGCCAGGGACCGCGCGCTTCACTGTGCGCGGCGTGTCGCCCACGCGCATGGTCAAGCTCTTCATGAGCCGCCACAGTGCGCAGCCGCAGGCGGCGCCCGCGTGGCTCGGAACCGCTCACGCTGCTTTGCTCCGATCCCCGCCTGTCTTTTCTGAACCTCTGACACCCCCACCCAACGCCTGCCTGCAGCCGGGGGCGTGCACGCGTCCGCGTCGGCAGCGCACGGCGCCGCCGCGGCGCCCCCCGCCCCCGCCGCCGACCTCGTGGCCTGGGTGGAAAGCTCGGGGGGCAGCGCCGCGGGCGTGGCGGTGCGCCGCAACGAGGCGGGCTTTGGCCTGGCCGCCTCCCGCGACTGCGGCGCGGGCAGCACGCTGGTCAGCCTGCCCCAGCGCTGCCACCTGACGTACGACGACAGCAGCGACCCCCGCCTGCTGGCGCTGATCGGGCAGGTGCCCGCAGAGCTGTGGGGGGCCAAGCTGGCGCTGCAGGCAAGTACTGCTGTGCCGGTTGCCTCTCCCTGCGCACCCAGGAGCAGCGGGGCGCCACCGCCCAGCCCCCTTCCGCACATACGTGCATGCTTGCCACAGCTTGGGCACTGCACTGTTGCCTGCCTGCTTGGCGTGCATAGCGCGCGCGAGCAGTGCGCCACGCTATGCCGTGCCGTGCCCCTCCCCAGTATAACCTGCGCCACCTCACCCGCCGCCTCTCTCCCTCACACCCCCCCCTCCTCTGCCCTGGCCTGCCGCCTCTCCCTTGCTGCAGGTGGTGGCGCACCGGCTGCAGGGCGCCACCTCGCCCTTTGCCCCGTACATCAGCAACCTGCTGCTGGGCGTGGCGGGGCTGCCCATGTTCTTCGGCGGCGACGCGCTGGCCGCCCTCCAGTACCCTCCCGTCACCGAGCAGGTGAAGCGGCGCTGCCGCTGGCTGCTGGCCTTTGCGCAGCGGGAGCTGGCGGCGGCGCGGCGCGGCGGCGGCGACCCCTTTGGCGGCGCAGATGTTGATGCCAATGCGCTGGGCTGGGCGCTGGCGGTGGTGACGTCGCGCGCGTTCCGCACACGCGGGCCAGACCAGGTGGGCTGGCAGGGGTGGAGAGGGCTGGGGGCCGCCGCCGCTCAGAGCATGCAGCGGCGGCTTGTGACCGGCCTCCTGGCTCGCAGCCTGCCCCCTGTCCCGACGCCAGCCGCACAGCGCATGCACTCGTGGCTTCTTTCCGGCCATCCATGGCCGGCCAGGTCGCAGCCTCCCCTGTTCACAACAATCCAGGTGCTCCCTTGCTGCCGCCACCTAAACGCCACCCTTGCCCGTGCCCCGCCTCGTAGCCTGCGGCCATGCTGCCGCTCATCGACATGGCCAACCACAGCTTCCAGGCAGCCAACGCCAAGATCGCGCCCGGCCCTGGCGGCAGCATGTGCATGGTAGCAACCAGGTGTGTGTGTGTGTGTGTGTGTGTGTGTGTGTGTGTGTGTGAGAGTGAGCATAAGGCGCTGCACTCCGCTTCGACTGCTCGGGCTGGGCCGAGCGCTGCATGCGGGGTTATGCCCTGCCCCTCCCCTCCCGCGGCTCACCTCCAACCACCCGCCCACGCGCATGCACTCACCTGTGCCCACTGCTCCGCAGGGCGCTGCAGGCTGGCGAGCCGGTGCTGATCAGCTACGGCGCTCTCTCGAACGACTTCCTCCTCATGGACTATGGTGGGCCTCTGGCTGCCGCTGCCGTGCCCGCGCTGCTGCCTTGGGAGGGCCTCCCTGCGCTCCCGCCGCTGGCAGGCTCGCCGCCAGGTTCCCGGCAAGGCGCCTGCGCGCTGCGGCACGTGTGTGCCTGTGCGCCTGTGTGCTGTTCCAATGTTGAGCGCCCTCCGCCACCGTGCCTTGACAGCTGGGACCTTTGCCACCCCCATGCAACACATGCTGCAGGCTTCATCGTCCCCGGCAACCCGCACGACACTGTGCAGCTGCGGTTTGACCGAGGCCTTATCGAGGTGGGTGGAGTCGACTGGCCGGGTGGCTTGCTGGCTGGCTGGCGGGCGGGCTGGTTGGAAACAGCAGCGCGGATCCCAACCCATATCATGCGGCGGCAGCCCAGCCAGCAGCTTGGAGCAGCCTCCTGCATCTCAGCACGCCTCGCTTCGCACCAGGGCACAGCTGACTCAGTGCCCCATGCCCTGGCCGCCGTTGTCCCAGGCTGCCAAGGCGGTCGCGGGCGTGGGCTGCACGGGGGGCGCGCTCGACGACGGCGGCGCCGAGCTGCCGCCGCTGCCTGCCTGGCAGCAGCAGGCGCTGGCGTCGCTGCAGCTGGCCGGGCCGGGCGCCAACACGGAGGTGACGATCCGGAGGCAGGCGGCGCGCGGCGGCGGCAACGGCAGCGGCAGCGGCAGCAGGAACGGCGGCGGGGAGGCGGCGGCGGAGGGGCCTGTGGATCCCCGCCTGCTGGCGGGCGTCCGGGTGCTGTGCGCGCCCTCCGCGGCGGCGCTCGGCGGCAAGGCGGCCAGCGTGGAGCGGCTGGGGCGGTGGGACGCGCCTCTGGCCCCGGCCGCCGAGCTGGCGGCGCTCAGGGCGCTGACGGGCCTGTGCGCCATTGCTCTGTCCCAGTTCCGGGGCAGCCTGGAGGAGGATGCCGCCCTGCTGGCGGCAGCGGCGGCGCCAGCCGGCGGCCAGGAAGCCGCGCAGCAGGCGCAGCGGCAGCTGGGCGAGGACGAGCAGCTGGCGGTACGGTTCAGGATGGAGAAGAAGCAGCTGCTGCTGGAGGCTCTGGGCACAGTATCCCATCGGATCCAGCAGCTAGCCGCCGGCAGCGGGGCCCCAGCAGGCGCGCCAGGCGGCGGCCGACAGCCGGCCGGCAGCGGCAGGCAGCCGTCCGGCGGCGGCAGGGGCAAGGGCAAGGCAGCGGGGGCCAAGAATGGCGGGCGCGGGTTTGGCAAGTGAGGGGCCGCCCGCGCGGGCGGCGGCCCCCTGCGTGTGTCATTGCTCTGCCCCGGTGGATTGTGTGGGATCCCTCGCTGCACAATTTCATCACATGCCCCTCATAGCTTTAAGCCTATCAGCCGACTGAATGCCCCCTTCCAGAGTTTACACAGTGAAATTGGCTGAAGAGAGGTGCTGATTATCCAATCAGGCCCAGCTGCGCGGTTCCTGCTGCAGCTGCGGCAGCGCCATTGCCAGCAGCTCCGCCAGTGGCTGCGGCTGCTGCGCCAGCGGCTGCTGTTGGGCCACCTGCGCCGCCTCAGCCGCCGCCTTCCATGACCCATCCGCGGTCGGAGGCTGCAGTGCCGGCACCGCCGCTGCCGCAGGCGCCAGGGAAACAGGCTGCGCGGCGGCCTGAGCCGCCTGCTGCGCAGGCGCTGCGGCGTGCATGCCTGCAGCGGGCGCCTGCTGCTCCGGCTGTTGCCCCTGCAGCTGCTGATACTGCGGCTGCTGGTGTTGCTGCTGCTGATACCGCTGCTGCTGCTGCTGCTCCAGCTGGGACGCTATGTGCCACGCCAGCAGCTGCTGCTGCTGGGAGAGAGACGCAGCACCAGCCCAGCCGTTCTGCTGGAAGGCCGCCGCCTCCTCCCGCGCCCGGTCTAGCTCTCCGCGCAGCCGTGCCATGTACTGGGCCGCAGCCAGTACCTGCTGCCGCTCCCCGCGCAGCGTTGCCAGCTGCGCCTGCGCCTGCTCCAGCTGCCGCGCCGCCGCGGCTTCAGAGGCGGTGGCCGCGGCGGCCGCGGCCGCGCCGTCATGCTGCAGCTGCTGCAACTGGCCCCAGAGCTCCGCCGCCCGCTGCTCCGCGGCCGCCGCGCGCAGCTCGGCTGCCGCCGCACGCTCGTCGCCATCCGGCATGCTGCGCAGCCCCTTCTGCTGGGCCGCTGCTTGCTGGATGTTCTTCCTCTGCGGCCAGGCACAAGCAACGCGGGGGAGGGGTTGCGCAATGGACACTGGGGCCCGAGACAGCGACACGTCGATGCGGCGGCATGTGCCCAGCAGCGCTGGACGGCCACCGGGCAATGGGCAGGCAGGGAGCCGGCTGGCTCACCACCAGCATTCGGAAGGACCGGAGCTCTCTCAGAAACATCTGCAGGCGCACACGCAAGGGGGAGGCTGCTGTTTGTTAAAACCTTTGCGTCAATGCAGCCAGCGGCGGGGGCAGGCGAGGAGGAGCAGACCAGCAAGAAGTGGCAGGCACTGTGCAGCCGGAGAGGTGCCAGGCGGGGCGCGCCTGGGTGAGGGTCAGCACACCGCTGGTGATGCTCGTCTGCTGCAGGGGTGCGTCGGACTGCAGGGAGCAGCACATGCCATTAACCTCGTAGGTTTCCAGGCGGCCAGGAGAGAGGCGCTGCTGGGAGATGGGCGGCGCCGTACCCGCGGCTCGGCAGCTGGCACACATGTCAGGCATGCGGGCATGCAAGCAGCGTGGCTGGCATGGCAGTAGGCACGTGGCACACGGGCAGGCGCCCCATGCTCACCGCCAGCAGGCGCAGCACGGCGCTGTAGCGGCACGTGTGCGCCAGGATTGCCTCAGAGTGCGCGGGGTCTGTCAGGGCTGCGTCTCGGTAGCACTGCAGCATGCGCAGGCCGGCCTGCAGGCAGGCGGCAGCACGCCAACAGGCAAGGCGATCAGGCAAGCGTCCCAGCAGGGCCGATCGCACATCGCCAGCAGGCCGTCACAACAGGCGCCATCTCCGTACCGCCATGGCGGCCTGGCGGTGCTCGGGCCGGTTGAAGGCGGCATGCAGGCGCAGAAGCTCCGGCAGGGCCGCTGGATCGTGGGCAAGGGAGCTGCTGCCGCCGCCCGCTCCTATTCCACAATCTGACTGCTCTTGCTGCTGCTCGGCAAGAGCAGCCAGGGCGGCAAGGAGCCCAAGGGCAGGCATGCCGACATCAAGCTCGGCCTGCGCCTGCTGCGCCTGCTGATCCTGCTCGTTTTGCTGCTGATCCTGCTTGTGCTGCTGCGGCTGCTGCTGATGTACCGGTGCTGCTGGGTCGAGCAGGGGCTTGCTGGCTGGTGCCAGTGCCGCCCTCGCCCGCCCAGCTGCCGCCTTCAGCGCTGCCTCTGCCTCCGCTGCAAGATCTGCAGCCGTCATGCTGGCTGCTGCCCCGTCAGCGACCGCCGGCCCAGTCTGCTGCCGCTCCTCCTGCGGCTGCCCTTGCAGCAAAGCGGGCGGCGGCTGCGGGCTGCTGTCGGCCGCTTTCACGCGCTTGGCAGCAGGCTCTGCGCCCTCATCCTACAGAGTCCCAGCGACGGTGGTGGTGGGTGGCAGCGGTGGGAGGCATGAATAGCTGCGAGCAAGTCCAGCATGCAAGCCGGTTCCGCACCGACATGCACGCCCATGCATGCGCACCTGGCCGGCGCCGTCCTGCTCCTCCTTCTTGCTGGCTGGGGAGGCTGGTGCTGGCCCCTCTTCGCTGCTGTCGTCATCCTGCACCTGGCTGCTCACCTCCTCAACGCTGCTGCTGCCCTGCAGGGAGCAACGGCTGCTGTGACGCTCTTGGCGGGAAACAGGCGGGACAAGTTTCAGTTCGACTCGGGGGCCCCACCTGCACCACCGGCCTGTCCTCAATGCCCCTTGCCCCGCAGTAGGGAGTGGCTCTATCAGGGGAGGCTAAAGTGGCCATGGCACACCACCTGCAAGGGGTGGCGGAAAAAAGGCGGCGTGGAGGCGGGTCTGAGGCGGGTGGGGCCTGGCCGTCGGGGCATACTAATTAAGTCTGAACCCCCTGTCTGCAGGTCGGGCAGGCCGCCATCCGACATACATCTCGAACCTAAACCGCGAGACGCGAGCGAAAAAGGGTTCTCGCGAGAACAGGAGGTTCAGGGTTCGGCGCACCCGGCCTCCGCCCCACAGGCCCCTTCCTTCCTCAAACCCACTCGGCGGAGCAGCCATGGCGCAGAAACACATGCACACCTTGCCGGTGCTGCTGCTGAACCGAGCGCGGCGCCGCCCTCGATGGAGGGGCGCGGCAAGGCGCGGGGGCCTTGCACAGCGCCGCACATGCTCCAGAGTGCCTCTTCTCAAACGAGGGGATAATGCCCTCACCCGAGCTCCAAAGGCTTGAGACGTGCGCAGCACAAATCTGTGCTGATCATGACACGCGCATGACCACGGCAAAAATCCTCCAAAAATGTCAATAAACAGAAATCAGAGACAGATCCGTCACCTCCGGCCATGGTGCAGGCCATCCGCGCAGAAGGGCTCATCTCCCTGACTCTACAACTGGGAACCAGTACCAGCCGCCGCCACCGCCTGCAGGTGCCGCACGCTCGCACCCCTCGTCGCCTGTCTGGATTGTAGTATGGTGTAAGACGCCGCAGCCAGACGTGAAGGCTCGACCATAAGTTACATTCAGAATGTTGGGTCGATCCAGAGGCCACAGGGCTTGCATGCGCCGCACAGGGGACTCCACCGCGCTCACTTCGCCACCTTGAGGATTGGCAGCGCGGCGTTGACCCGGTGCAGCACGGCGCCCTGGGGTACCGCCAGATCCGTGAAGTACAGCTTGTCGTTCAGCTCCATCTTGCTGCAGTACAATCGTGGTGCGCATGGTGGTGTGTAAGCCGGCGGCTGGGGTGCCCATGCAGCAGCGAACAAAGCGTCAGCAGCAACGGCAAACGCCGCTGGTGCAGGCCCCGGCCTCGAGCCGCCCGCCTGCCCGGACCTGATGTCAACCGTGAAGTCGCGAGGGATGCTGTCCCCCCGCGCCAGGCAGGGGATGGTGCGGCGTATCCAGTTGACGCGGCCGCCGCCCTTGATGCCCGGAGACACATCCTCGCCAATAACCTGCATACACGCAGGGGGCGCAGGGCCTGAGGCGCAGGCCTAGCCTACATCAACTGCATGGCAGGCCTTGCACAGGGCAGCGGGGTGCACAAGGGCCATGCTGCCGTGCCCTGGCGCCCAGCTCACCTTGAGCGGCACCTCCACCCGCACTTGACGCTCCGGAGGGCAGAACACAAAGGTGACATTCTCTACGGCGTCTGTGGTGGACGTCATGTGCACTTGCCGGCCCTGCACGCACACCAAGCCACGCCGGCATCACACGAGGCAGCCAGCACCACACGTGGAGAGCAGGTGTGTGTGGGGTGCAGCCAAGCCAGCCTACTAGCGGCGGCAGCGGCAGCGGCGGCACCCACCAGCGCGCGCACTGTCCGGCTGCTGCCGTCCTCGCCCTGTATCTGCAGGTCGAACACCGAGCATGCCCAGGCCGTGCGCCCCAGCTTGGTGACGAGCTTGCCCAGGGCCTTGGAATCAAAGGCTAGCAGGTGCTGCTCGCCGCCTGGTCCAGAGAACACAATGCCGGGCGTCTTGCCAGCCTGCAGGCGCATGCGGTGGGCCCAGGCTGGCTGGTGAGAAGCACAGGAGGCAAAAAAGGGGAGGACAGGGGAGGGAGGGGCGGAGAACCGGGTGAGGCTGGGGAGGTGCAGGCTCTTGGCTGAGGCGAGCAGCAGTACAGCAGCACCTTTCGAAGCTTGTTGGATGCGATGGAGCCCACTAGTCCGCGCTCCTCGGCTGCTAGTGTCAAGGGTTCTACAGGGTAGCAACGGGGAGAGGTAGGTGGCCGCGTGGCGGCGGCGGCGGCGGCGGCAACTCGCCAGCAACCCAACAGCCAGCGCCACCCCTGCGGGCGGAGCAGCACACTCACCGCTCACAGGCTGCTCTGCAGCCGCACTGAACCGCGCAGCAGCCGCTCCCAACAGCCTGCCGCTTGTGCTGCATTCCAGGCCGCCGCTCCCCAGGGCGTCTGCTGCTGCCCTGTGCGTCAATCGTCGCAGGGCCTGCATGCTGCTGCTGCGGGGGGGGGCCAATTGGCTACAGGAAACTCTAGCTGGGAAGGGTGGAGCGTAGAGCCTTGGAGGCGGCATGCAACAGCCCTTGCAGTGCGGGGCGGTGCCGATGCCGAATGCCCCTGTGTTGCACCGCGCAAGCGGGAAAGCTGTCCTGCCGCCTTCGCAGTACAAGGGCGTCTGCGGGCCTACGCGCCCTCCCAATCGATTGAAAGGGAGCTGCGGGGCTCGGGAGGTGCTGGGAGCAGGCTCAAGTGTCCGATCTCTGTCGGCCGTGAAGCCGTCCCCTTTCCCTCCTTTCGCCAGCGAGGAAGATGCGGGTGCAGCTCTTGGTGCTGGCACTTGTGTGCCTAGCAGCCGGGGGCCACGCTTCGTGCCAGGGCAATGCCTGCCAAGAGCAGGCGCAGGCCGCCCGGGCCGCAGGGCTGCTGGGCGGCACCCTGGGCAGCTGCGCACCCAAGACCTACCCCACCAGCGGCGCCCTGTCTCCGGTGAGTGGGGCCCGGCCGCCGCCGCCGTCGGCAGCTGGCCAGGGTGGCTCGCCGGCTGGGAATGCTCACAGTCAGCCACACTTTCCGGATGCGATCCTCTTGTTGTTCCTGGCCGCAGATAACTCTGGACAACCACATCAACGATCTGAAGTGGGCGGCAGGCCCCGACGGCTCCGTCAGCGACAAGGTGTGCCGTCGTGGGGCCCCGGGAGCGGCGCTGGGTGCAGCAGGCGGATGCGCAAGAGACGCTGGGTTGCGGGTCCTTGCGTGCTCCACAGCATGCCAGTCGGCATAAAGGATCTGCAGCTGCAAATCAATGCCTCTGGTGAGGCTGCTGGGGACGCTTTGTTCACCGCCGTGGCGCTGGTGCCACATCCCTTGCGCCCTGTGCAGTACATCTTTGCGCTGACAATGGAGACGGACGGCTTCCCAGGCGGGCCCCTGTACCTCTCAGACAACGGCGGCCAGCCCAACTCCTGGACCGACCTGACGCCCAAGATTGCGGCGGCGCTGCCGGCGGTGGGTGCCCTCGCCGCGCCTCCCCACCTCTCCGGCTTCTGCCACTGCCTGGCTGGCCTGCCGTGCTGCTGCACTGCACCAGCCCGGACGCCGGCCACCCGCCGGCCATCCCACCGCTGCGCCTGCCGCGCCAGCCCGCCCGCCGAAGCTGCCCGCATCGCGCCCTGCCTCTGCCGCAGGGCAACGACAGCCTCAAGGGTGTCATGGAGGCGGTGTGGCACGAGAAGAAGCCGGACCGCATCTTCTTCCAGGGCAAGGTGGGTGGTGGAAAGGAAAGAAAGGAGGGAGGGAGCGGGCGCGGCGGCTGGAAAGATGGGACCAAAGCAGCCAGCAAAGGGGGGGGTGGGGAGGCGAGCGAGGGCGTCACACCACCCAAGGACATCACACCACACATGGCGGCATTGCCCCTGCGTCCTTCATCAGCCTGCCGTCCCGGACGTCGCCCTAGGACTCCACCGCCTGTCCTCCTCGCCTTGGTCGCGCATTGCGAAACGCCGCCGCCGCCACCACGCCTCCCGTGCCCCGCAGGGCCGCTTCCACTTTGTGAGCTCCGACTACGGCGCCACTTTCAAGGCGCTGCCCACCCCGGGCGGCACCGAGGGCTACGCGCAGGAGCTGCGCCTGCACCCGCGCCAGCCCGACTGGATACTGGCCAAAGTGCGGCGCAACGAGTGCCTGGTGGACCGGCGCAGGTGGGCTTCTGCCTGCTGGGGTGGCAGCCTGTGCCGGCCGAGGGCGCCGTGGGCAGTTAAGGCTGTGCTGGGCTGGGCTGGGCTGGGCTGGGCCGGGCCGCAGCTGCTTCCGGCCACGTGGCCGAGCTGGGAAGCCTGTTCCCGCCTCAGCTTGCAACCAACCGCCCCGCCCCGCGCCACCCCTGGCCGCCCCCCTTTGCCGCCGCCTGCAGCGCGGCCTGCGCCTTTGACCTCTTTCTCACCCAGGACTTTGGCGAGAGCTGGGCCAACCTGACCGCCAACTCGGCGGGGCGGGTGGCCTCCTTCCGCGACTTTGACTGGGGCTGCCACCTGGCCATGTGAGCGCACCCTGGCGGCAGCAGGGCAGGGCATCAGGGCAGGGCGCACGGCCCCGGGCGCTGGATCCCGCCTGCCTGCTTTCCCAATTGAGGGCTGACGGCGAGCCGTGCGATTGGGGGCAGGTGCTGTGGGAGGGCTGGGGTCGCTGCCCGGGGTCGGGCGCCGCGCTTGGCGCCAGTTCGGCGCCGCGCCGATGCTGGGCCTCCGCCGCTTCTGCCTCCGCCGCCGCAGGTTTGCGGGGAAGCCCACGCCAGACGAGGCCATCTTTGCCACGGTGTACGCCTCAGCCTCCAGCCAGAAGGGGCTGTACCCTGGGTGAGGCTGCCCGCCTGCCTGCCTGCCTGCCCGCCTGCCTGCCTCATTGCTGGCTCTCCTGGTTGCCCGCCCGCCTCCCCGGCCCTGCCCCCTCGCCCTCTGCTCCGCTCCGCCTGGTCCCTGCCTGCACGCCTCGCTCGCGTGCACGCGTGCACTACACGCCGGCCGTGGCCAGCCCTGCCGCTGCCGCCGCTGCTTTGGCGGTTGCTGCTGCTGCTCCTCTGCTTTTGCTGTTGCTTTTCCTCTTTGTGTTTTGTGTTTACAGTGCACGTCCGCAACGGAACGTGCGGCACACACCTCTAGAGGGCGTGGTGGTCACCGTGGGCGCACTGCTGCTGCTGCCGCCGCTGCCGCCGCCTCGCAGGTGGGACAAAGACCTTCACTATGTGGTGAGCCTGGACCTCTTCAAGACGCCCGTGGTCAAGATGGTGCCCTGCGGCAACCTGTTTGAGGTGCGGCCGCCGCCTCCCCTCCCCAGGAATCGTCAGGCCCTGCCCCGCACTCTGCCCCTGCGGCTGATTTCCTTCCTTCGGGCGGGACAGCTGGATGTACTGCCCGGGTGGGACGCCGCCGGCGCGCGGCCCACGCCTGATGCGGCATGCGCGCTGCTCCGCTGGCGGGGCGGGATGCCGCCGGGGCGGGATGCCGCCGGGGCGCGGCCACGCCGCATCTTGCTCCTGCTGCCATATCGATAGCATGCCACATCCAGCACATCCGAGTCATCTGGCGACCGTCTGCCGTCCTTCCGATCCTGCCCTGTGCTTTCCTTTCCTCCCTGCCAGGTGGTGGCCAAGAAGGTGTACCTGGCGGTACCGTCCGACTGCCCCGTGGGCCCCGACGGCAAGGCCCGCGCGGCGCCCAAGCAGGGCATCACCGGCCGCACAGGTGTGGGCTGCCTGCCCGCCGCCGCCGCCGCCTGGTCGCGCCCCCCTCCCTCCGCCTCCCAGTGCTCGGCGTGGTGCCGTGTGCCCCATCCACACACACCCTTGCCCTCCTCCTCGCCCTCGATCTCTACCTCCACCCCCTCCCCAGCCTCCA